CTATGTTTTTAATATTTTATAATCAATTTTATATTTTAAAAATTATTATATATAAATAAATAAATACAACTAAATGGACCATCGTGTCCTTACCCTTCCAAATCACATAAACTAAATAGACCATATGCCATTTGGGATTGCATTTCAAAATAGTTTATTGACTTATTGGCTTTTCAAAAGCCAACAAATCTAAAAATGTGTTTCACTATTGCATAAATGTTATTCAAAATGACTTTTTAACATGCTCTAAGAAGGGGGTTTCCAAAAAGTTAGGGGATCTTGACTTTTTGAAGGGTTTGTCTAAAAATGTGTTTCACTATTGCATAAATGTTATTCAAAATGACTTTTTAACATGCTCTAAGAAGGGGGTTTCCAAAAAGTTAGGGGATCTTGACTTTTTGAAGGGTTTGTGGCTTTTTAAACTGAAAAAAACAATAATGCCCTCAAAACTTTTTCTCCAAAAAAAATTAGTTAAGTACTAAATATTATATATAAAATTAGTAAATAGTTTTAAATATATAAATGTCTTTTTTGGTCATTTTACATATATAAGTCAAGCCAAATATATATTTTTAAAACAATTTATTGACTTATTGGATTTTGTCATCATAAAAGTTAATCTAAACATTTAGAAAAAACTCATTTAGCCACCATCATAAATCAATAATCATCTTTGACCAAAAGAACTTTTGAAGTTTAAAAAGCAATCTCAAACACCCATGGATCGCATAAACTAAAAGGACCATACTTTTGAAGTTTAAAAAACAATCCCAACCACCCATAAATCACATGAACTAAATCAACACGCCCTTGATTATTGTTTGTTGCTTATTGTTTTTGTGTTTCTTCAAAAGTGACAATTTAAAAAATAATAATAATAATAATAACTATCCTATCAGTCGATTGCTCTACTGATCGTAATATGTGTTTTTGTAAATGTCTTCATGTAACACCCCAAAAAAAAATTTCTCAATCTTTTTAAACGCTACGATTATAAAAACATACGGGTATTTACCCTCATTAACAAAAAATCAGTCCCACAAAACATTTACAATTAAAAGTTGGGTGTTACCATTAAACATCATACAAACCATAGCAAGAAAATAAGAATTACATCCATATAATAATTAAGGAATTTAATAAGTTCCACTATGTTCTCTATCTCATCACTTTTATTTTTATCTATCATCTTTCTTCTTCCTGTGATACATGGCATTAAAAAGAGATACGTAAGACATTAATGTCTCGTGAGCTACGTGGGTTTATGACCCAAAAACATTTATCACATTTTACATGAAAAATCCTTTCATTCATACCATAAAGCATTTTCAATCTTTTTCATATCATAAAGCATTTTCAATTATTTTCATACCATAAAGTATTTTCAATCATTTTCATACATGACATAACATTTCATATTGTAAGTGTCATTTCTTATCTTATCATTTTACATAGAGTATCTTAACACTCCGCCCTCAGCCAACAAAAGAGACCCTAACTGCTCTGCCCGAAACTGAAAATCCTAAACCATGTCTGATTTCCTGACAGACAGAACCATTTCATACCGCATCCATAATGACTCCACTTTGCAACCCGAACTGAACGAACCCTTCCAACTAGGGATGAAAGTGAGTCCAAACCCGGACCGGATGGACCCAGACCCAGAAAGCCCGGAACCGGTTAACGTGATTTTGTAGAACCGGAAACCGGACCGGTATATAGGAACCGGTTCCGGTTGGGTTCTGGGTACGGTACCGGGTAAAGTGGGTCTAGAACCGGAAAACCCGGAAATATCAAAGTGGGTAGGTTGGAACCGGATAAAGTGGGTTTAGAACCGGAAAACCCGGAAAAACCGGAATTTTTTGGTAATTACTTACTACTTAGTGGGTTGAACTTTGAAAATTTTCATATTGATATCCCGACTTTGGGGGACTGTAACTCACTGAATATGAAACCAAAATTGACAAAATTATAGTCTAAAATCATGTACAAACTCTAAACTACACTCTTAAAAAAATCGCATGTCAATCCGACTTTAAACGAATGAGATATGCATGTGTTTACATTTTCACAGAATACAAAGTACAAAAACAAATAGCTGAAAAGTTGAAAATTTTCAGTTTTGATATCCCGACTTCGGGGGACTGTAAATCATTGAATATTAAACCAAAAATGACAAAATTATAGTCTAAACTCATGTACAAACTGTAAACTACAAGTTGGAAAAAACCACATGTTAATCTTATTTCAAACGAATTAGATATGCATGTTTTAAAACTTTCACAGAATACAAAAAAACTGAAAAACTAAAAACTTTCAGCTTTGATATCTCGACTTTAGGGGACTGTAAATCAATGAATATAAAACTAAAAATGGCAAATTTATAGTCTAAAATCATGTACAAACTCTAAACTACATGTTGGAAAAAACCACATGTCAATCGGAGTTGAAACGAATGAGATATGCATCTTTTAAACGTTTCACAAAAACCGGTTCCGGTCCAAAAAGTGGTTCCGGTTCCTAACGTCGGTTCCGGTTTTTAGACCCGGTCTACCCGGACCCGATGGACCCAAACCCGGATTACCCAAAACCCGGAACCCGGATAAAGCCAATTCTTAAACCCGGAACCGGAACCGGTTCTATATATTCCGGTTCTAACGGTTTCGGTTCCGGTCCGATTCCGGTTCCAGTCCGGTTTTCCGGTTCTAAATCTCATCCCTACTTCTAACCCTGAATTATCTAGCTGATAACCTGACCAGTGACTGATGCCAATAACCTTTCACTCGAAACGAAGGCGACTCCCAACACGAGTCTCAACCATTGGCGCCAAACCAACACGTATCGCACATCCTGTTAAAGAAAATTTTGCATATTCGATCTAACTGGGATCTCTGCACCTAATCCCACATCGGCTGGGAAGGAGAATGAAGCATTTTCTTATAAGGGGTATGGATACCTTCCTATCACAACGCGTTTTAAAGTCGTGAGGGTAGTAGATCCCATAAGAACTCTACAGTTAAGCGTGTCAGGACGAGAGCAATTTAGGAACGGGTGACCCCCTGGGAATTTTTCGTGTCGGGAGCCCAAAGTGGACAATATTGTAATACGTACCACAGAGGGATGTTACAAATGGTATCAGAGCTAGGGTACGGGTCGATGTGTTCGACGGGGATGTCGAACCCTGGAAAGGAGGAGGGGGTGAAGGTGGGTTGCACCAGATCCCACATCATTTAGGAAGGAGAACGAAGCATGTCCTTATAATGGGTGTGGATACCTTCCCTATAACAATGTGTTTTAAAGCCAGGGCAGTAGATCTCATAAGAACTCTACATTTAAGTGTGCTTGAGCGAGAGCAATTCAAGGATAGGTGACCCCCCTAAGAAGTTTTCGTGTCGGGAGCCCAAAGCGGACAATATTGTAATACATGCCAGAGGGGGATGTTACACTTCAAGTCAAAGTTTGACTTATGTATTAATTAGTTTCTTCATTTTGAGTTTCTCCAAAAGATAATAAAGGCTTGAATAGTGTGATGTTTAGGATTGAAACGAAGTTGAATGGAGTGTGGGTGATGACATGGAGCAGAGTTGAATGAAAGAGTTGAACGATCATTGAATGGTTCAATAAAAGGAACAAAGAAGTGATTAAGATTGAATACATGTTTAATGGATTGTGAGAGTTGTTGTATATATGTTTAATGGATGATTTGGCAATCCATTGAACTTTATAGAATTCAATGGATTGTGGATGCCCTAAATCATAGCACGAGATTTTGTGTGTAAAATTAGCTATATAGAGTGTACTTTGTTTTACTTTTGTTGAGAACTCTCCACTACAATGCTAGGTTTTACCTTGTATAAAAAGAGCTAAGCTTTTCTTGGTTATGGACTTTTGGTATGTATGTTTATATAGAGAAGCCCTCTTCCCAAATATTGAGAATGACATTTGTTAACAATTCTATGTTTCTTGTAATAATGATGCCTCGTGGAGGTCCAGGACTTTACTTAGCAGTCTCATGATTTCGCTATTGATCAGAGATGCGCAAAAGATGTCTCAAGAGTGAACATGAACCCCGGTAGTATAACCTCTAATTTGATATTTGCTAGTTCTTTAACTAATTCTTTTTATTCTTCTATCCATGCAAAGTGTGGCTTTCATTGCACAACACATATCTAAATCCATCGCACATCACCTGAAGTGGGGCATGGAGATATATAATCCAGGATATATTATTTGTCAAAAGGGGTATGCAAGAAAGATGTTGCAATATTTTTCCATGTGGATTCAAACGAAATAGTCAATCCATTAGAGCTGCATCTGAAACTGATGAAAGAGAAATTGTGGGATGTTAGAAAGTTTTAAAAACTTTTTGGTAGTTTAATAAATTTAACTATGATAAAATCCAGATTGCTTAATCCATCAGTGTGGTTTGGCAATTGGAGGTTTATAAAATGTTCAAGAAGTCCTCAATTAGTAGCAGCAAAATGGAAATTAAACAATCAAGAAGTAAATCACATGTCAAGAAAAGAAAACAACCATTTGCAAGGAAACATGAGGTAAAATAATCAAAATCGAAATAATGAACAAGATTTTTGGATTTTTCCATGTGAGATGGCAGGAAAGGGTGCGATGAGGTGCGCTTTATTGGGCTGAACTCTATGTTTGGGGTGGCCCACGTTTATTTGAGTCTGTTTGGAATAAGGCCCATGCCATAAGTTAAATATGACTTAGTAATCCATATTACCCGGTCATATCCGTCTTCCTCGTGTTGAACGCAGAATTAGGAAAGTAGCAGTCTGTTTTGATTTTCTCCTGTATTTCCGTTCTTCTCCTTTTATCTTTTTGGTGTAATGGCTATATAAGCCACTTAGCTCTTGAATAAAAGCATTGGAAGTTTGTGAGCTGATTCAATCTTGTTATCACTTGTCTCCAACACGCTTTACATTAAAAATAATGTTTATATATTAATGAAACTAGACATTTGAACGCTTTCACTTCTTTTATTATATCGGATCTTCATACATATTAGTCGTGACAATGGCAGCTTCTTCACACACACTAGAAAATGTTGCTTGCATCACATCCCTCTTTGATTCAGGTAGCTCAGTCACCAATCCTTCAACATGCTGCAGCTTTTTTACTAATTTTTCAATTTTCTCTTGCTTCATCTCAAAGTGCGATTGCATTTCCAATGGTGATTGTACCCACTGCCTTTTAACTTGTGCTTTGCTATGTTCATGCCACTTTATCTTGAGGCTCTCCATTGGTTGTTCCATATCAGCCTTGTTAGTATTGCGAAGTGCTTTACAATGCTGAAAGAGCACCCGTGATTCTGCAACAAGCTCTTGTGCTGATACGATATTCCTCATAACTCTAATATCCTGCAGTGTTTGGCATGATCATCATCAATTTCCAACATAGATGCCTTTAATAATACGGATGCATATAACCTACCATATTGTTTTTTCTTAGAAAAATTAAGCAAAAGTAGAAACTGGCAAATAGATACAGAACAAGTTGAAAGTTATCCAAAATGTATTCAAATGCATACAACTTACTAAGTTGCTTCATTAAAAAAACTTTGCCGCCTAGTATTGTAAAAACTACTTATAAAACCCAAAAACATGAGCACAAAAGTGCTTGCGGTTACAATGTTTCATAGTTGAGTCTGATTGTGCATTTCGTTTAAATAACCACTTTGCTGCATAAATTAGGAAAAATGTATTGCATGGATACGATACCTCACACGAGATCATTGTGAAGATGGTACTTGGAGTTGCTTTCTTGTGTGCTTGCGCCTCCAAATAAACCCTTCCCGGGTAACTTGGTGTAAACTTTAAAATATTGAAACCAGAAAACTGAGAAGGTTGATGTGAGGTTAGTCCCATGGATGAAGAAAGAACCTGCAGAAAACGTAACAAAAGAAGATTATATATAGAATATTGATGTAATCTCCATAACCATACATATGTGTGTATGTTGTTTTAATCTTTTTATAGTACAAGAGTTTTTCCATAAGAATCTTTGTAAGTTGCATATTATAATGGACATCAAGGACCAATACCTCGAGAAGCCTCCAGTTAAGTATAAGAAGTTTGACACTGTGGAGCTGTTTAAGCAGACAAACTATTTTATGAGCATCTCTTAAGAGTGGGCACAGAGATTCACCTTCTCCAAAGAATGGAATGTTTTTGTAGAAATCTCCACAGGATCATCACCTTTCATAACCAAGGAGGTTAGGCCAGGTGCAGAAATCTTAAGAAACTTCATATTGCAACAAATAATAGTGAGATTCTTGAGTTGAGGTGCAACCACATTCACACCCTTCAAACATATATCTTCAAATGTGAGATTAGAAAGTCGAAGATTACAAATATTGAAAACATTCGTTCCAATCATTCTGAGTCGTGTTAAGGTGAGACTCTTCAAGTTGGTGCACTTGGAGAAAAGATCAATGCGCTTATCAGAGTCAGACAGTGTGATACGATCAAGATGCAATGTTGTTAAAGCTGGTGTGGCAGAATAGGAAGGAGAATGATAATGAAGTCCCAACAAATCAAGGTGATTGAGAGACGGAGAACTAAAGAGAGAAAGAGGAGATCCAGCATTACTCTCATGGCCGCATGTAACAGTCAGTATTTGAATATTGAGAGACAATGCACAGTCTAGAATGCTATTGACAAACGAATATCTAAGCCTTTTCCAAGAAAAGAGATTGAATGCAGACAAGTGTATTTGATTATTGCGACGAGACATTTCATCATAAACAAAGTTGGAGAAGTCAGGCACATTTAAGAAACAGATATAGGGGGATGAAGTCCAGATAGATCTCCACCTAGATGACAAAACACTCACTCCAATAGCCTCTCTGACGCTAATAAAAGAGGATTTTATGGACAAGTTCGTTTGGCAAGCTACTTAGTCTATCCTCTTCTACATTCATTATTTCTTTACCATGATCAGATTTAGCATTCACGTGCATCATCCTCCTTTTTGCCTCCAAAACTGCAATGAAATAGAATGCAACAATCAGGACATACTATGAAAGTTAAAGCTACAACCTGAAAAACTAGTTTTACACAATATAGAGGAGATCAAATTCTACAATCTGTCGCAAGGTTAGTACTCTTTCCATTGCAATACATCTCATCCTCATCAACTTGTATAGTTTAACTTCTCTACAACCATAAATTATTCTCATTAATTTGGCTATGGATTGCTATTTATCACACAGTGCTTTCAAAACTGATGAATTTACAATCAGAAAAAGATTAGTAACATAACTATGACATATATGATGGTCGGCAACCCAAAAAAAAAAACAGAAAATCAGTCCAAACTGTTCCCAATTCACATGATGACAATCAGTAAAAGAAGAATGCGATTATTACATGCACAATACGTAGGTAGCAAACAGAAGGAGCAATTCAGACAATATATGCTACATGGACGACATCCGGCTAGGTTTTTCTCAAGAAAACATACCTTTTTCATGAAAACTTAAGACGCTGGAAGATCGACTTGCACACAGAGAGATTGGATTGCGAATTGTTAGCGTCTAAAACATGCGTATGTGCTTACATTATTAATATATATAAAAGGGTCAATCTGAATTGGATAATAATCATGGTCCATGGAAAGTGGTAAATTGGGCCCGACATGTACTTCATCACCTTATCTTTTTAATCACCAAATTACGCATAATATAATTAAAAAAGGTGAAAGATAATTTAGCTTAATCTTTTAGGGATGGCGAAAAACCCCTTACCCAACGGGAAACCGAAACCCGCATCCGTTTTGACAGGGGAATCCCCAAGTTGACCGGGGATGGGGACGGGGATGGGGAATCCCCGAATAAAAAAGTGGGAATGGGGATGGGGATGGGGATACCCCTAATCCCCGACCCTGGACCCGCCCCCGATATATATTAATATATAAAAATAATACAAAACATATATTTATATTACAATTTACAATACATAAAATTTGATCTAAGTAACCTAACTCATTAATAATTACTTGGTTGAAATTATATTTGTTTTTCTTTATCTAATTTAAACTCATGTATATTTTTTGTATTTTGTTTATCTATTTTAACTCAAATATCACTTTGATAATTTTTTTCTACTTGATTTTTCATGTATGTATTTAAATTTGGTAGAAAATTTGTTTATTTTTTTATGTAATCTATGAATATTTTTATATTTTATAAAATCTTTAAACTTATGATGGTAAAATTGAAATTTAGAGTTTTTCTTTACGTAAAAGTTTGTATATTAAAAGAGAAAAAGAAATATCTGATTCCCCGCTGGGATCCCCAATCCCCGTTGGGGGTGGGGATGGGGGTTTATTTATATTCCCCAATGGGGATGAGGATGGGGACGGGGATTGGAATGAGGATTCGGGGATGAGGATCGGGATTGGGGTCCCCTGTAATACCCGCCCCCGTTGCCATCTCTACTTTCAACCATTTGGCAAGAAATAGCCAAAAAAAAAAGACCAAAATGGCAATGGGTTTTTGTGGGCTGCGATTTTATAGGCCCGTATGAGATTTGTCAAAACGATATAGATTAAACATGTATTGTTGGGGGGCGTTTGGTAGAGCCTTGTGCATGTGGGAATGGAATGATTGGAAATGAAAAAAAATGTGTGTTTGGTTTGTTTAAGAACGCGGGGTTTTCATTCATGAGGGTACCCTGTTTTTTTCTCATTCCATTACCTCCTATGAGAATATCTTCCAATTTTGCCCTCAATCTCCATCAAGATCGGAAGAAATTATTATAAGTATCACTCAAAATCAGTAGACGTAATCTCCACTTTATCAAAATCTTCTATCAATTTAATCCTTATCGCACCAAATCAGCCACCAATCATTAACAACAAACGCGCTTGTTCTCTATACAGGAAGCTGTCGAGTATCTTGTATGGCTGTATGACTGTATCCCAAAGTTTTTTTTTTTTGTTCTCTAGAAACAAGTGAACTTGGTTAATTTTGAGAAATTGAAAATTTAAACAACCTAATCGTGTATGGAATCCTTAATTGATCAAATATGCTTTTAACTTTCACATACTCCCACTGTCAATTAAAATCACTTTGCAATTATCGATCATACTCCACTTCAAAGTATTTAATTTGTAACCCTTTATTATGGGTGTCAAACCTTAATTAACATTTTCTTTTCCATCGAATTCATTTTTCATTCCCTACTCATCTCTTTTTGCTAGTTGGATAGTAGCCTGTAAATTTAACAAGGCAATTGTTGATTAGATTTATATTTATTTCCAATAAAATAAACTTTTAGTTTACTGTACCATTTCTTTTGTAACTCTTGATGTTCTTGATGATATCTTTTTGTTTGGAGGTCCTTAAAGATTTCAACCAGTTGATGAATGTCACCCTTATTGAACCTCAAATTAGTAGCCTTCATATGTATCATCATTAGTAAACCAAATTCAACTACCTTTGACCGGATTGGTTGAATGCTTCTAGAATCATTAGTTTTTTGTTTCCATTTATGTTTTCTGAGAGGTAAAAGTGGCCACCGGCACTGATAAGTTTTGTTCTTTAATATCAGTTAAGCAGTTTTCTACTTCCATAACAATCAAGATAAATATTATGTAAGTTTTCATCTTCACCCTGTTTTTAATCTACTGGTTTTAGAGCCATAGTTGTGTTTAGCTAAATGGTTCTTGCTTCCTGGTAATAGGTTCCTTTTTTGATATATTTTTGCTTTGGTCAAATAATTTGTATTTTGTTTTCGTTTTGGTGATATTTTTCAAAGTTGAGGATGAAGACAAATTTGGATGGGTAAAGGATTTCCTTGACGTTATTTATATGGATAATTTTTTTTTTCTGAAATTGTAATTTTTTGAAGTTGTAAATATTATGATCAAATAATTTTTGATAATGTTGGCAAGACATTGATATGTTTTTGATAATGTTAGTTAGAAGTTGATATGTTTTTATTACATAGGCTTTTTTAGAGTTTTTATAATAAATAAAATTTTATATTTATATATAAACTCTTTTATGTCTATGTTATAGTTTTGGTTGTTTGTTTAATTGATATATGTTTATTACAATAAAAACTATAATTTTTTACTAGATAATGTTAAAAATATTGAATTCCATGAATTGTGTTATAGGGGTATTTGTGTCATTAGTATTTCCATTCCTTTTCTTTCTCTTTTTATACATACCAAACAACATGGATGAATGACTCATTCCATTCTTTCGGAGTAACCAAACATGACAATGGAATGGTAATTAACCATGCCATTACCTTATTCATTTCATTACTTGGTCCATTCCATTCATTTGTTATTCTATTACGTCCAACCAAACGTATCCTAAGAGTGCAAACTAAACCAACTACAAACAAGTTCACAAAGTTTTCGGCAACCTCATAAAGAACATCGTTTGAAAGCAATAGCAATATTGTAAAATATACCTTCTCTTCTTGTTGCTTAAACTCAGTTCGTCTGATTCACACTTGTCGACCTCTCCCCGGAAAATAGAAGCCAAACACCTTCCCGTTTCAACACTAGTTGCATCTTGATTTAGACTAAAGTTTTTTTTTCACTGTAAAACTCTTGAAAAAAACGCATCAACCCATGTTCATGTGAACTTCAACCACACAAGTTGGATCTCTTTGAGGACTTCTATCTAAGGAGGAAATATAGACATCACCTTTTTTTATTAAATAGTAGCTGCTGAAAAAAGTTGAACCGGCCAAATCAAGAGTTTTCCTTTGTGAATTTGGTGCTTTAGTGATGGTAGTTTTGACCCATTTTTGTTCCATAGCCACCCAGTTAAACTTTTTAATCTCAGTATGAGTCGATAACGTTCAAATTGGGTATAAACTTGCAATATTAATTCTATCCATTGAATTAAAAAGTTGAAAGTTTTCTTGTAGCTTCGATAATAAAAATGTTGGTGTCTTGTCTCTACCTGATGTTTCATGTGACGTTGAAACAAAAGCTGTCAAGATTCCTTGATCATATCTATTCACCTCTGCTTTACATTTATTCAAGAGATTTTGTTATGTTGGTAAAGGTGGTCTTAAACTATAAGTCTAGGGTCCTATTGTGTAAATAGTTGGAAAGTGTTTTGACTTTGACTTCTAACTATAGAAGGTTTTCATTCAAGTTTTTTATTGTTTTTTTGCTTTGTACACTCTCATGAGAAGAAATAATAGAAAATCAATTTTGTTATCTTTCTGGTTAATTTCTTCCTCAAACTTGTTTATTCTTATTTACTGCACAACAAATTGGTATCGGATTTGGGGTGGGGATTTCAATCAAGTTGGGTCAACTTCAGAGGTTCTTTGCTGACTTTTTTTGAAGGGATAGGTTGAAGTGGGCAGAAATAAATTGAATTGTGATTCAGTTGCAACCTCGTAGAGGTTTATGGATCAAGGAAACAACATCTCAATCGATCCAAATCAACAAATGATTTGATAATGTGAAAGAACACTTTCTAATCAGAGGAAGTCACCAATAAGCAATAAAGATTAGAGACAAACACGCCAAGATTTACTTGGAAATCCAAAATCAAGAAACCCCACAAAGAGAGGTCACTGACAGATCCACTACTGATGATGAGAATGTTTAAAATACAAGAAATAAGAGAAATTCTTGAGGGTTTATATGATTAAGGTGATTGGTTTCATCATTTTTGTTGGAAGATTTCGGTGCCATATGTATGATTTTGGTTTTTGATTTGACAAAAGTTTAGGTTTGAACCAAAAAAAAAAAAAAAAACAAGTGACACTCGCTCACAAACCCAAAAAATGAACAAGATTCTTGGATGAACTAGGAAGGGGATGGGGTACATAAAAAAAACGGTGTTTCTGGTATGATTTTAAAAGAGACAAGTGGAAAACTAAAATTAAAAAGTTCATACATAATTTATCATAAATCTGGTTCTAATATCCTCTAAATGGGAACCTGAAATCAAATTAAACAGAAGACAATATGAGATCAATGGTTTTCATTTTGATTATAGAGCTATAATTTATGAGTATATCGGAAATCAAGAACTCACAATTAGCTAAGAATACTGCAGCAAAGCTGGAGTATAAATGTTGATGAAACTAGACATTTGAAGGTTTTGGCTTCTTATCACATCGGATCTTCATACAATCCAACATATTATTCGTGACAACTGCAGCCTCTTCACACACGATTGAAAATGTTTCTTGTAGCACAGGCCTCTTTGATGCAGAAAGCTCAGTCACCAATCTATCAATCTGCTGCAACAATGAAATCAAGCGACCAGTATCTGATGTAGGAAGCTTTGTCAGTAATCCTTCACTTTTGCCTTTCTTGATCTGCGTCATCATTTTCCCAAAGTGCCATTGCTTTTCAAACGCTGATTGTACCTTCTGCTTCTTAACTTGTACTTTGCCATGATCATTCATCTTCCTCTTGCAGCTCTTTCTTGGTGCATCGACTTGTTCCATATGAGGTCCTTGTTTGGTGTCAGTAAGTGATTTACGCTTCTTTAGCCGATACCGAATTCTTGCAATAAGTAGTGTTGCTAATACGATATCAGACATAACTTTAATCTCCTGTAGTGTTTTGCATCGTCATCATCATCATAAATTTTCAACATGCATATATAGATGCCTTTTATAATACAAATGCATATAACCTGCTATGTTGCTTTATAAAAAAAAAATCGAGCAAAAGTGGAAAGTGGAAAATGGATCGAAAACGATTAAATGCATATAACCTACTATATAAATTGTTTTATTAAGAATAGTTTGCCAAGTATTTAAATAATTATTTATAAAACCCAACACATGAACACAAGAATATTTATAGCGTGCGTACATTTTCGTCTGAATAACCATTTTGCTACATAAATTAGAAAAACTATGAAACGCTGTTGCATGAACACGAATTTAACCCAAGAATATACACTGGTGTTGCATACCTCACGAGAGACCATTCTGAAAATGGAACATTGATCAGAAGTATCTAGCAGAGACGTAGTTGCTTTCTCGTTTGCTTCCACCTCCAAGTATACCCTTCCAGAGTCACTCTTTAAAAACTTTACAATCTTAAAGTTAGCAAAAGGACAAGGTTGATTTGACATAATTAGTCCCGCGGATGAAGAAAGAATCTACATAAAACATAACAAAAGAATATCATCGATATAGATTAGTGTAAACTATGTTTTGTTTTTGTTCTGATTTCTAATTATGGTACAAGAGTATTTTCCATTGTTGAAACTGAAAATCTTTGTAAGATGCAATTGATAAAAAAAATCAATGACCAATACCTTGAGAATGTTCAAGTCAAGTGTAAGAAGTTTGACAGTGTGTAGCTGTTGAAGCAGAGAAACCATTTTAGGAGCATGTTCAGAGCGCAGGAAGGATAAACGGAGATCCACCTTCTCCAAAGAAGGGAAACCTTGTCCTTGTGTGGCAATTAGCTGCAAAGGATCATGACCTTTTATGACCAAGGAGGTAAGGCTAGGTGCAGAAATCAGATGCTTCCCTTCGCCATGTATAATAGTGAGATTCTTCAGTTGAGGTGCAATCACATCGACAACCTCCACACCCCAGAATGTCGATTCCAATGTGAGATTAACTAGTTGAGGATGACATATTTTGAAAACCTTCGTTTCACCAACTTTGCAATTTCTTAAGTTGAGATTCTTCAAGTTGGGGCACTTGGGTGTAGTTGTCAGAGACTCTGATATTATAAAGATGCAATGTTGCTAAAGCTGGAAGGTCCCAAGCTGGTGTAGCCAAATAAGACGCATTATTCGCAAAATTATGCAAATCAAGATGCTGGAGAGAACGAGAACTATAGAGAGAAAGAGGGAATTCAACCTCATTCTCAGGCGACCATGAAACAGTCAGTTGTTGGACATTGTGAGTTAACACATATTCAAGAAATCTTTTCATAAATTCATGGCTAACTCTTCCATCGGAATACAAAAAGACTGAAGACAAGTGAATTTGATAATTGCGATGAGACAGAACATTATTAACAAATTTGGAGAAGTCAGGCGGACTATTGATCTTAACGAAATTTATTAAATTGAGATAGGGCATTGATTTCCAGATAAACTTCCATCTAGATGACAAAACACTCACTCTAACAGCATGTTCGAGCTCAAGAAAAGAGAGGATTTTATGGATAAGATCATCTGGCAAGCTGCTTAGTCTATCCTCTTCTACATTCATTCTTTTTAGACCAAAAGCTGCAATGAAACAGATGGAATCAAATAAAACCAACCTGAAAGATTAGTTAAAGATCAAAATATCAAATTCTACAATTCGCCATTGCTTCAAACTCTCTACGATTCGTAAAAGGTTCTTAGGATAAACTAGGATATATTTCGTTTTCAATTTCAGTTAGCAACCCTATAAAACGAAAATCAGTTCAAACTATTACAAATCTAAATGATTATAAAGTGGTGATCACCCAATACCAAGTAGCAACAAACAGAATGAGATATTCATAAAACGACGTCCGTAAAAAATACCTTTTTCCCCGCAGAAAACCTCAGACTCTAGAGGATCAGATTTTACACAGATTGGATTGCCAAGTGTTGCTGAGATTATTGATTTATAGGTGCGCGACGTGCGTCCGTGCGTGTGCTCGACTGTGAATTGAATCAATAATCATGGATCTGTGTAAATTAGGCCCAACAATCCAATATACAGTTCCTTCGCTTATTTTATAGGGTTATGGATATAAAAGGATTAGAAGGTGTTTCTAAACTTTTTTTTAGAATTTCAAAATGCTTTGCCCGCGAGTTTCATTAAAAAAGAGAAAGGAAAGGAAGCAGAGAGATTTGGAAAGATCTTTGCTCCCGACATGGCGGACGCCGACGCAGGATTCCGTAATAGGTGTTGTTGGTCCGTAGTAGATATTGTCGGTGGCACATTTTATAGTAGAAAATTCGAAAAATTTATACTGCGTATCAGAAAAGCAGTGGTTGGTTGTCAGTGCCACTGTGGGCACCCAAAAGAACCGCCACTGGCTCCCGAGTTTCAGAGAAACAAAAGAGAATGGAAAAGAATATTTCAATTAATTTTCCCTATAAACTATCGATCTCAAATCGGAAGGAACTAGAGAGAAAGAAAAGAAAGATCAATTACTTTCTTTTCTTTTCTATATTTTTCTTTTCTTTCTTCCAATGAACTCGAGAGCGGAGTGTAGGTATTAAGTCTGTATCCTTACAAAATTTGAAATTACATTGGGGTGTTTGGTTAAGCTTATTTAAGCTCATTTTAGCTTATTACCAATTCCACACCGGTATAAGCTAAAAATGGTGTTTAGATGGAAATAGCTTATATCAATATCATACTAGTAATAAGTCAAAATTCATAACTAAGACGCCTCTAATTTATCAACTTATAAGAAATAAGCTATAAGTTGAAAAGTGTTTATGATTTTTCATAAGCTTAGTCAAACACCCTCATATATATTTGTCTCAAACTATAAAACTCACATCTATATCCAAACTTTTAATTTAGTTATGTTTAAATTAACATAATATTAAAAAACTTATCTAGAAATCAAATTTCAATGTGATTATACTTAAAATACTCTTCCAAATATTAAAGATTAGCATTAAAGCAATTAGGATTAAACCTAATTAAAACATCCTCCACGCCGTTTATTTCATGTTGTTCTCCCTCATCGCATCAAGTTTGATTTCTGTTCTTTTACTACATGGCGTTTAAGTTTCCTCGTCACATGGAATCATGATTTCCGTTCATTTTGATTCAAATATGTGGGTCCTATGATGTTTGATTTTAAGAAAACAAGGATTCTAACATTTTTACTTTTTGTGGGTGGATATCTATACCCCTAATTTGTTTATGATGCTCCCAATTAATAGTACAGATGTCGTTCAATATATTTCATCTTCTTCCTTATTATTCTATCGTTTTCTTATAAATGTTTTGGTTTTGACAGGTTATGTTTAGGCATGAAGTAAACGACGTACATGAAATTATAATTAGGTTACTCCTAATTTTTAATATTTGGAAGGGTATTTTAGTATAATCACACAAAAATTTGAATTCTAGATAAGTTTTTTTTATATGAGATTATATTAAACCTAATTAAATTAAGAGTTTAGATATAGATGAGAAGGATATATATATATATATATATATATATATATATATATATATATCTATATATCTATATATATATATATATATATATATATATATGGAAAAGTGAATATACCCTTAAAGGTATATAAGCTTAGGTACCCAAACCCACCATAATACATCGTTTTGTTTGATACATTCATTATAATATTCTTAAACTTCAACCCCTGACTTGATTTACTTTCAAGATTTTCAAAATTTCACTATTATCTTCCTCTTACATCACATCTTTTTGCCAAACACCTACTAGGCTATATATATTATAGTTGAAAATGAAAATTATGTAAGAGGAAGATAATTGTGAAATTTATAAAAATCTTGGAAGTAAATCAAGTTAGAAGTTGAATTATAAGAACATTGGACAATTACAATGTATATATATGATACAAAACGAAATAGTATTGTGAGTATGTGTACCTAAGCTTATATACCCTTAAGGGTATATTCACTTTTTCCATATATATATATACTAGTGGGATACCCGCACGATGCAGCGGCGGCAAATAGGTTCTTCTGACATATTGTTTACTTTTGGCAATTAACTTCCTTTGAGTTTTAGGTTTTGAGATTTAGGTTTAGGCATTGCCGTTACCATTAAAATAAATTTATAATGTGTGCTCACAAAACTATAACTTTTAAACGAAGTTTGGCCAAAACATGGGCAAATGATGTCTAACCCATTTTTTACAAGGTTTTTTTACTGAGCATCTCCTAATATTATAATAAACTACACCAATAATATTTTTTACAAGTTATTTTTGTTGAATGAATCCCAATATTTTTTAGGTTAACAAACGAAAAATATATTGGAAAATCAAACTTTATATAGTACGAGGGATAAACCCGAAAGTTTAAAAAATAAAAAAGGTGGCAATAACATTTTATAAAGTTCAAAGGGGTCAAAATAAAATTTTAAAAAGTAAGAGGTGAAAAAACCACAAACTAAAATTAAAAAAATAAATAAAATAAAAATACATAAATAGTCTTTATGGTTTTTCTAGTGCTACAAACCTAGTCCATGTTACCACAAATTACCCTCATACTAACGGACTAAAACTAACGGTGTTATAAAAAAGGACCATTCATGTAAGTTTTGAAAACCACATAGACCATATTAGTTAAAAAAATGTGTAAGAATTAAATTTGTGACTTTTGGTAAACCACAGAGATCATTTATATAATTTTGCCATGATTAAATTAAAAACTTAGCTAAATATGAAAATTGTTTGGAAAATTGTCCATACTTTTCTATATTAGTTTTTTTGTAAACATGTTATACCGCAGAAAACAATACTTTTTTGTGATTTGTTTTTTTGGAAACATGTTATTATACGATGCAATTGCAGCTATTAGTTTCATTTGGTTGAATAGTTTTTGAGCAAAAATTAGTTTCGGTTGGAGGGGCTATAAATTCTAACTCTTTTCTCATAGAGATAAATCATAAAATCATATATTTTTTTATCTCTTTACATATCAACTTCACTCTCATCATCTCATCAAGTTGCATATTAAATCAATTATTTCATATCTTTATACCTTTGGACAACAAAAATATTATATATTAAAAAAAAATCAATAATTTTAAAAACTTTCACATGAAAAGTATCTGTTTAAACATAAAGTTTTCGAAATTAAAAATTGATCGTATTTTACATCTCTTATTTTATCAACTTGACTCTCATCAAGTTACATGTTAAATCAATTATTTCATCTATTTAATTTTGGACAACAAACAAGTTATAAATTAAAAAAAAAACATATTAAATCAATAATTTTTAAAACTTTCACATGGAAATCATTTTAAACATATAATTGTAAAAATAAAAAGTTTGTAGTATTTTAAAGCAAGGAAAAACAATTTTATATCAAACTCATTGAACTAAACCAAAAAGGAACTAAAAATGATTAATAATCATTACTCGTTAGAAAAAACAAACAAAAACAATAACCTTTGTTATCACAAATGATGTAACGTTACTTTGAAATATCCAACGATGCTATGAGAATCTAAACAATAATAAAAAAAATTAAAAAACAAATAACAAACATAAATCTCGTTTTATATCTTTTGAATAAAAAATAATACACAGAATCAAGAAATGGGTTACACTGAATAAAAAACATAAATATCGTTTTAACTCATGATGATTTTTGTAGTTGCTCCTTACATACTTGAATGTTGTCATACTCTTTTATAAACTAAAAGACAGCAGGAAGCTGGAAAGTAATACGAAGTACAAAGTAAAAGGAAAAAATACAGAAACAACCGACCAACACCAAAATATAATGCAACATCCATAAACTAAAAAAATGACTAAGGGAAACTCCACTTGTGAAATTGGACCAGGAAGCATACCTCAAAGCCTCAAAACAATAGAAATGAAGTTTAAAGTTCACACCAACAATAACAACCAACTTTTGAGAGTAAAGAACAACAAAAGAAAAAATTAATCCTTATCTCGACTGGCATCGCCAATAAAGAGCATTCTCCAAATCGTAGATTTAAATTTAAAACCCCGATTAAAACCAAGGACAACCACATGGACGCATCAGGGGCAAAATAGTCAAACTTTGACAAAAATAAGAAACACTTGCACTTAATTCCACCAAATGGGTATAACTATGCATGGGCAACAACCACAAGGACAATTAGAACAAACATGGCTGAATTGGACGAGTAATCTCCAAACATCCGGCTCAAAATCTGCCAATAACAACACTTGAATTAACAATAGTATCAACCTCAATTGACACACCACAATTTTTGCAAGTTCATTCCAGGTGTTTTGTTTAATTTTTTCAAGTTTCTATATGAAGCAGTCTCTCCCAAACCATCTTACATTGGCACAAAATAATTAATTTTCCTACAAGACAACCTGAATGTATGTCATATTTAGATTTGGGGATGCCTCAGACATTGTAAGCTTCGAATGAATCTACAACACAAAATGTCACCTGAATCTATATCATATAGAATAAAGAAGTTACAAGCGAATGCTGAATAGTAGTAAGTAGTACCTTTATTCATTTGGTCCATAAATTCCAAACAAAGTTTACTTGGTGAAAAAATGGCTTTCTTCCCCAATTTAGGCTACCCTATCTGTTGGGGATGAATTCATATTACAAGAACGCCAACAAAATAAGAAACTTAAAATATAAAGATGACATACTCAAAGATTTTGTAAATAGAATAAATACATGTAGACAGGAAAGATTATATAGGAATAAATAGGAAGAAATGAAATACAATTGCACCATTTGGGAAAACGAAGAATCAAACGTTAGATCTTTTTCATGGTTTGATGTTGATTTAAAGAGTGATTGCCTCTTGTTTGAGATTAATCGCTCGTAATTCGGTGTAGGAGCCCCATTCATGCCACTCAATAACACTTTCATTTGGTATAAAAGCCATCCCTGCCGTCCAAAAATCTAGGTTACTACTCATTAATACAACTATAGTAAAAGTTACAACAATTTCTTTAAAATTGGTATAAAGTCGTTCCCTGCACCAAATCAGTAAAGAAACTAAGTCAACATATAATATATTTTCTATTTCAAAGTATACCATCAAGTTAAAATGCATACTTTGACTGTCTCATATACTAACATTCGTTCACAAACCTGTAGCCAATCATCTAATGAAAAATATTGAGCTTTAAAGTATATTTAACCGGCATCTGGCTGCATCTAATCTTTCGTAATCAAAATTTGTAGCATATTCCCTGCAAAATCAAAATATTGTAGATTCAAAACACAAGGT